CTAGACAAAGAAGCAATGATACACCAACGGCCCAGCTAACAAAATGATGTAGCTACAACATATTCGGGAACGTTACATTGAAGTGGCGAAAAGATTTTGTAGACTGCCTACAACGTTCCCGCAGTGTTCCCCTGTAGCAAAGCCTTGTTACGATACATTAACAGAAAATGGATGATTGCCGAAAGAGATTAAAATTTGCATTCATCATCTAAATTAGTGATGCATAATTAAAAAATATATAACATGACAAATGTTACACATTCTATACATATTGGTAATTGAGGCAAATTGGTGTCAAATGTGTCAACATTACCATGAATGGGAATTCCTTGGAAATACATAGAAGCAATCGTGTCTAAATATGGTAGCTGTAACTCGGAAATCCGCACACGGGTTGCCTCAGCCATGGCAACGATGGCCAAATTGACAAGAATATGGAGGAGCAAAATTGCGTGGTTTGGACACATTGCAAGGCACAAGAGCGTGTGCAAGACCATCAAGCAAGGCACCGTTGAAGGTGAACCTAGGAGGGACGCTAACATAAAAATTGGTTGGACACGGTCAAAAAATGATCAGGTATGACTTTACCAGAATTTCTGATGGCTGCTGTTAACAGGCCGTTGTGGAAAAGGGTTAGTGTGGCTTCTGCATTCGGATCCGCCCTATGATTACAAAAGTCAAAGGGATGATGATGATGATGATGTTTCTGGTGTGATTTTCTCTGCGCTGAATGTTTTTACCTATATCACTTTTCAAAGTTACTACAACTTTGGGGATGAGCATTTAGATTAGGGAGCAGGAAAATAGTTGGTTGTAACATTACAGTAAGCTTCACCACAACCTTACATATCCCTCAACCAAAATATGACATATCCACATCTTTTCCGCGTAAGCTGGGAAGATGCATTTAATTCTAAAAAATGACAACGTCCTAAATATAACAAAAAAGAAATTACCAGTAAGTAAAAAAGCACTAAATTATGCGTGTTTGAACGATAATTTTCTAGACAGAGCATTAAGCAAACTACAGAATTATTCAGAAATAACGAATTCTTGGCAGAAGAAAATCCTAATGGCACACGACAGGCAGAAAGTGAACACGACAGACGGATGTTCCACTGGGTAATAAATAATTCCAATGATTTATAGAAGAACAAATGACGGCTTTATCTGATTCGAAAGAAAACAGATCTGTTCCAACAGTTAACCTTATCACCTGAGTCATACGTACATTTGCTACCATTTCTTCCTCACAATAAAATATATTAATGTCTTTTATAAACCGCTTAGCACAAATATATTGGTCTTTAAATTGGTTTTTATATTAGAACAATTAGGAACAAAATGATGCATTTCCCTTTTTTTATAATAGATTTTATTTTTGTTTTTAGGAAATTAATTATCAAATAAGCCAAAGCTAGAGAAAGATCCTTCTAAGAAGATGTATATACTCAACGACGTTGCTAGAAAAAAGAATAGGAATATGTGATGAGACATGATCGCCTACGTCTGGTGGGGGCATAGCATAAAATAGAAATATGACTATGCTAGATTTATATCTTATTGAAAATTAAGCCTTGTGAAAAAAAAAATGTAGTTCTAGAGAAGGATACTAAGAATATCATGGAGTGACCATATAAGCAATAACGAAGATTTAGAGAAAATGGAAACAAAAAGGACACTTATATCTAATATCAGAAAAGAAAGAGGAAATTTAATATTCTAGCGAGCATAATGAGGAAAGAAGGTTTGACAAATTCGACACTCAGTGGGCATATCGAAGGAAAGAAGGACAGAGAAAAACAGTGCATAACCTACCTAATGAGCGTGTGAAAACGGATGGCAGAACATGGTTTGGGAGAGATAGAAAAAGATTAATTTTATTAATGGATTCAAAGGACAACAAATTGTGTAGAGACACGGTTGCCCATAAAACAAAGACGAAGAGTAGATCTAACGCGATGCATGTAAAGAAAGAAGAAATATGTTTATTTTCTCCAAACTCCAGAGTCCATTATAGGCATTAGTTATCCGTGATATCTATAATGCTTTAACACATCGGAAGAAATGCCTGGAATAATCTAGTGAAATAAATTCGCCTACTTAGCTATATAGGAAAACATTTTTATATACAATATATATATATGTCACTGCAGAGAGTAATTTAACTCATATTAAAAATAAACATTAAGTGAAGGAGTGGAATGATTAAATGCCTTAGGTTCCTATTTAGGTGGCTTGGGAAATACTTTCGTTAACCGGACCGCAACTCACACACGCAACTCCATCGGGAACTCATCAGAAACTGACTATCCTCACGTGCACGCTGCCAGTTGACCTTCATTGTCCCTCTAAGATAACTGACAAAAGTAAGATAATTGCCTTCTCAATCCCTGCACTTCTATGTGGCTTCGTGTTTTCATTGTTTAAATTCAGTTTTGATTATAAAGTTGCTTATTTATTATTAGCAAAGAGGACAACAAGATGAGAATTTTTTTTCAAGATGTTTCTGTTATCATCTCTAATCTGGATCATCTACAAAGCATGTGGATCTGTTGATAACCATGGAATAGTGCTTAGTACGTGCGCTCTGGATCCTGTTTTCTCTAAATAAATATAAATACAATAAATGTCCCGCTACATCTTGATTTCCTATTTGTTGGAAAACCTTATCAGTTGTTCCAGGTTTTACGAACACAGGTGAATCGTCCGACTCTTCCAACTATTGGCCTATTAGCCTTCTACCTTTTTTTGGCAAACTACTAGAGGCCCTAATCTATACATCTCACACCGTAGGACCTTCATTCAGACAATCAATCGGGCTTTTGTTCCTCTAGGTTAACTTAATATGTATTTACAAACATAGTAGAAAGAGTATATCAAGCGTTAGATAAGAATTGTGAAGCTCGGGTTGTTGCATTGGATATCTCCAAAGCGTTCGGCAGCGTCTGGCATGCAGCTCTCTGTCACAAGTTGGAAAGTTACGGTGACGGCTGACAACATTTTGAACTGATTAAGTCCTCCTGATAAATTTTTCTGTAGTAGCTCCTAAGTGATGTTTCTGTTTTCTAATTCTTTCACATCCAGCAACCTCTTGTCTTGCTGGATTTACTGCCTTGCCTGGGGTTAGCTCGATTTTTAAAAAAATGGCCAATATTCTGCCAGCCGAACATAGTTTACTGAAAGCATTTCACGTTCATCTGATCTTTAAAAAGGCCTGCATATTCAAGACACAGCCCCTTTGAATTCAAGATAATAGCATTTCAACATTCCTTCATTAAGATAAAATGATTAATCTGCTTCCTAACCCACATACGGTTATATAATTCGCATTCTCTACAAATTCGATCGATCATACGTGCTCAAGAAACGTATCTTAACGTAAACAATGACAACATATAATGAATTGGATTAAGTCTCTAGATTTTTAATTCTACACCATTTCAGTAGCTAAAAATAACTTGTACAAATCTGTGCAAAAAGCGGATCACGGAGCTTATTCAGCTTCATACATATTTTCAGAAAACATCAACTTCTGATTGGTCATCGACCTCGTTCTTGACGTGACTAAAAAATAATTCCGCCCCAAATCTGTCAATGCCTTTCTAGCCTACCACGTGATTCTCTCTCTCTCTCTCTCTCTCTCTCTCTCTCTCTCTCTCTCTTTCATTCGCTTGCGAAAAATGCAGCAGTAAAGAAATCGTTCTTGATTACTTGCTGTCGGACGCCATGAAAACATATTAACACACGTACGCACACGTACGGAACAATTCAATCATCAAAACGAACATTACGAACTAACATATTACTAATATTAAAATACAAGCAATGGAAACTTAATTACAAATATTACGGAACAGTCACTCTTTCAACTCTTCTAAAGCTAAAAGTTTACTCAACATATTCTCAGCTTTATAGAATTCCTTCTACTCTCTCAAAGTGAACATTTTGAGCGGCAAATTCATTGAAAATTTTATGAACTAATATAAAAATAAAAGTATTCCATTAGTTCAAACTTTAAATCCAGTCAAAAAGGAAGTAACCTCTCTGCTTGTACATAATTATAAAAATATAAATATAAATCTTGCTTTTCTAAAACCGTGTTTGAGTTTATTCTTGTTGTTTCTCTTGTTGCTTTTGCGTTTGTTTACACATTAGTAAAGTAATAAATGTAAGGGTTGATTTGGGCCGTCAATACCGTTAGAAGTCTGACAATTATTTAATATATTTTCTGTTTATACGTTATGGTACGTTTCTAAAGTAGATATGACCGAGCTCACATTAAACATGATGGATTCAAATTCTATTGCACAACATTTAAATGAACATTCCTGTCCATATTCGCGTTTTAGAGAAATCTTAATTGACAATACAAGTATACACCACAATGAAAATAAACAAAATCTTCAAATTCTGGAAGTATTCTATATATTAAAAAAATGCAGCCAACACTAAATAAGATTAATTATGAGTACAGCAACAATGTTTTAAAATACCTATAAAAGCAATGATAATCAAATTGTAAAAAAAAATAAAAGAATTAAAACAGTAATAATAATAAAAAAAATGAATTGTTACCTCCCTTACGTATTCTTAACGGTTAATTTTTAAATTGACAATAACGGAGCGGGTTTCATGTGTATTAAAAACATCCACAACTCTCAATTGCATTAAGTTTTTGTTCAATTAACCGCTGAAATGATCTTGGATTATATTACGGCGTATTTCTTAATAACAACAAGATATTGTTTCGTAAATTTGAGAGGATTAAAATAAAAATATGGCTAAAAAAATCCGTGCTTAAGTTATCCAAGTCGATACAATTAATATAAAATATTAAAACTGATACACAAACTCAATATAATTTTTATTGTAGAGAATATAATTGATCCAAACAATTTACCTCATACAGATGAACATTTCTTCCATGGAAAAGTAGTTTTTCACTGGACTTATCAATGCAAATACATTTACTAAAAGAAATAAAATCTCACGTTTCTTCACAGGAAACTTGAACGGCAAAAGAAGAAAAGAAGGAAAAAAGAAAAAGGAAAGAATAAAAGGAGAGGGAGTAAGAATTGGCCTAGAATAGAGGAGGGAGTTATATAGATACAGAGAAGTAAGAGACATAAGGTACTTGTGGTGGAGTCGGGTACCGATAAAAGCGACGGTTGAAAAGGAACTCTGACATAAATGTAACCTATCAACACATGTGCAAGGAAGAAGAATGACAAAAAAGACCAAAGGGAAAAACTGCTTTGCCGTGGACGAAATGATCGTCTGCATGACTTAAAGTGTTTGGATCTCATTAATTGTAATTCACACACACACACACTTGTATATATATATATATATATATATATATATATATATTTATTAAAGACACTTTTATGTTTAACGTTGTTATTTATAGATACAAGTATTTAAGCAAATGCTCTGTTTATGATAAACAGTATTAAATAGCATTTACCGGCCTGAATGTCCGAGAAATTTTCATAGAAAATATTCGTTCTTTGACAGGATTCGAACCTGCATCCTATATGGAACCGTCATATACGCTGTTATTTAATACTGTTTATCATAAACAGAGCATTTGCTTAAATACTTGTATCTATAAATAACAACGTTAAACATAAAAGTGTCTTTAATAAATAAATTGTCGGACCTTGTCCATTTCTTAACATATATATATATATATATATATATATATATATAATGGTTAATCCTTTTTTCTTGGTTTCCTTGGCTAAATTTGCCTAACTGTTATCATTTTGAGGCTGTCCTCAACACAGTATCATACTCATATCTTATGTTAAGTTTATGCCTGACGTAATTAAACACCGTATGCATTCTAGTTATTTTAACATCATTTCGCTATATAATTTGAATAAATACGTTGAAAAATCTCTTATTTACCATCTTAATTTCTGTGCACACACTGAACACACACTCTATCATTATACAGACTGATTGTTCCCAGTTTAAAATTCATTTTCCAGTAAGTAGTTTTTTTTTCCTGTTTATTTCATATGCACAGGATAATTAAAGTTCGAGTTATTCTCATCTAAGAATATATTTCTTGTATCATGATTTTTTCTCTTTTTTTTTCTTTTTTTTTTGGTTTTCTTTTCAGTTTGCGTTTAACTTGGTGGTTGAACAAACAAAAATTGCCAATAGGTAACCGTCAACGATTTTCTTTGATTTTTTTCTTTTTCTATTTGACCTATGATTCCCAAGGAATCCAATGCTTCATTGCACATTGAATTGAAACTATTTCCAGTTGAGCGTTTTTCATTTCTTGCCGAAAGCACAATTACCATTACATGTAACACTTGTAAACCTTGTGTAAGTTGCAATCACTTTACTTGATATACTACTGAAGTTCGATGTGAATTTACGAATGAAACCATGGTTGTTATTCTTCTATGAGCTGTGTCCGTTTACTACGTTGGCGATCATTGCTCTCAACAATTTTCTGTTCTTTAAAGCGCTTACTATTTTTTGTTATCTTCCTTAAAACTTGTCCCGCAAATCCTTTATACAGACTCGTTAATGACGTTATGCGCTGTTTTCCTCTGTCTATTTTGCCTTCAATAAGCTCTGTGAGAGTCTCTTTTCAATATTTCTTTTGATAATGTAACTGAAGATTTTAAGAATGTGTATTTAGTGTAACTTTACCGGTTTCACAGTTCTATGATTTTCAAAAGTTAAATTGAGATGGAGAGATAGGTCTCACATGAGAGACACATCATAGCATATCCACACATCTCTCCAACTGAGATTAACTTTTGAAAACCATAGAAATGAGAAACTGGTAAAGAAACTAAATAAATCTACTTAAAGATATCAGTTGGATTTTAAACTTTTTTTACTTATATTTTTACCTGTATGCGATATATAAAAAATACGTTAGTTATATATATATATATATATATATATATATATATATATATATATATATATATATATATAATAGAAATCCGGACAGTTACATTGAGAGGCAAACGTCATACCAACAGGCCTCAGTGACGAAGACACTCATTCCGTGGTGGAACTCATCCAAGTTTCCTTTACCCATAGGACTGTGCCCCCTAGAGCCACGACTACTATCCCCAAGACGCTCCATACAGAACATTAGAAGCAAGGTTATACAAATGATAGAAATTAAGGAGGATTTGAGACAATTAATTAATTCATTGAGTCTAGAAGATAGAAGAAACATTCAACAGAATGCAGAATGCACTGGACGGCCGTTTTGTCCTATATTTGGGACTCATCAGCAGTGCACATCCAGTGCCGAGAATTGAAACCCGGACAGTTACATTGACAGTCAAACGCCAAACGGGCCTCGGTGACGAAGAGGTAGCGAAATAGACAGACATTTGAATTGACCTAGAAGAAATTTGAGGCAACAGAAATGTTGTTGTACAGAAGGATTTCGACTATACTATGGCCTGTACAAGATTACCGAGGAAGTTTTAAGTAAAACAATAGCAAAAAGTACGCACTTATTAAAAGGACACATACTAAGGAAAGAGGGTGTAGGAATTTTGATAAAGAATATTTTGAAGGCAAACGAGACAAGGAAGGAATAAATTATCAAACAAGCTTATGCAAATAGTGGGCAGAATTGTGAGTAGGAGTGACATAACTTCATAATATGCTTCAAATTGCACGACGTTGTGGAGAGCCATGCTCGTACACGTACTAAATGCACACGGCACGTATAAATAGGTTGTCTCTGTTTTGTAATATCTGCCTCAGCGGATTCATTCTAGAACATTCTTCAGGTATACATGCTATATAGAAAAGTTATAATCATTTTATCCCTGATTTTTCAACCAATCATTTTTGACAACAATAACTAAATAGTTCAGTAATTAAATGATTTTCACATATTATACGCAGGATTTTAAGCCAAATTACCCTTTTTCTGTGATAGATAATATCTTAATATATATAAAAATTTAGTCGTATGAAGGTATTATTTAGTTACTTTTTCTTATCTAATAAAGTTTCACATTTATCAGCTTAAGAGGTATTTTCGTTCAGTTTGTCTTCAATAGTTTCTTTTCTTTTATCCTGTGATATAAAACTCTTCAATTTCTATTCTTTTCACAACAATGAAGAGACACATATTTGTGAATACTCCTACTGTAAAGATGCCTCAAGTTAGCTAAACACGATGTTGAAAGAAATAATGAAATCAGCTTGAAGCCCTATCACGATAGCCAGATACGGTGTGCACCTGATCCTATAGAATGTAACAGTCGAAACGTAATAATCCGAACAAGTCAGAAAAGTTTATGGAAAATATGTTAATATTCTATTTCCTAATATCTAAGACCTTTAAGAAAACGAGAGAATGTATTAACCGATAAGTGACGAATATTAAACAAGTGGGAGATACGAGCCTGAATTATCAAGTATTAACGACAATATTAAATTCCAAGTTCGCACTAAGTAGGAGAAACTATCAGTTAATGTTCACTGATCCAAACAGCAAAGAAGTGGATAATTATCCAATAACATTATGTAACAATGAATATATTTCAATCTAAGTATAAATAAATCCTAAGCCACTATAAAAGAAGCATAGAAACCAAAGTATAGTAAAATATATTCAACATACTTGATTAAAAGAATATCAGTTTTTCACTTGCTCTAAAGAAAGCAAAGCACGCAAGTTGAAAAATGCATAAAAACAAACTAATCACAAGACTAAACAAGAGAATAGACAAATTAAATTCTATTCCCGTCCTCAATAGAGGGCTTTCCTTAAGGTTAATGGCGGTCAGACAACAAAATAGATTTCTGAAGGAAATCGCTCGATCAATGTCACATATTTCGAATAAAACGATATCAACAAATGCGGCGGAAGTTGGGTATTGCATATTTTTATAGGCTAACACCCAAAGGATGTATGGCATATTGTTGTGGTACGATCCACCTAATTTACATAGTGGAGTACCGACCATATAAATATGGGTTGGTACCGGGAAGACGAGGGAGGAAGTAAGAAGAGATCCAATCGAGAGACTCTGCCCGACTGCGATTAAGTCAACCCATTCTACAAAAACAGTCTTCCCAAGAATATACCAAAACTAACTGTAAATATTGTGTACCTTTTCCTTGTTTCAATACATTTTGTTTACGTACATTTTGTGTTGTATTATTATTATTCCATGCTTATCCAAGCTTCAACACATATCTTTATAGACCCACCACTAAAACCGAAATAATATGTTGCATATTTATATAGGCCAGGCACTAAAAATGATGTAAGGTATATTTATATAGGCTAAACACTATGACCGAAATTATGCTTTATATATTTCTGTAACTTACAGCTGACAGAAATGATGTGTGATGTATTTTTATAGGCTCATCACTAAGAGCCAAATGACTTGAGTTTCTTTTTTATAGGTTTTCAGATAATATATTTAGCCATCTTGACACCAATTTTCTGAAGAATCACTGAAAAATCCTATGAGTTATTCAGCTAAAACGAGATGTTGAAATCGTTTTATGTCAAACCCACTATGTCTTCCCAATTGGGCAATAGTGAAGCGAAAAAATAATTCAGGCCTTTCAGTAATGGCACCAACATTCATATTCTGGCTTCCATCTTTAAAGTTCTTTCAAGAATCATCAAGAGAATGGTGAATATGTTCAAAAAAGAGGGAACAGTAGAGTGGAAAACTGAATCAGGAGGTTACAACAGCAAGAGGGATCATCATTTTAACTTAGAGCTAAATACATTCTTTTTGTTCAAAGTAGAGTCTAATAGTGTTATAAAATCCTCGATGAATTCCATTGAGGTATTTTTTAATCATTTCTAAGATACAACGGTTCAATGCTTAATATAACAATTGGAAAATCTTGCAGTTACACGATTTGGACAATTTTGCTGTTACAGCCAGTATATATATATATATATATATATATATATATATATATATATATATATATATATATATATATATATTATTTTTTACTGGCGTTCCTCTTAGCCAGTAATCCTGGCACACGAAGATATCTGGGAAGTTCTTTAACAGAGGAGGAAAGCTCGAAACTGAAATCCTAAAGCGCATTGGGATAGCGAAAGATGTCTTCCAAAAGATAAGCAAAGTATTGAGAAACAGAAAAAAAATTGTTACAAACAAAGAAAAGGGTGCTGAACTTTTATGCAATATCAGTCCTCCCATATGGCATCGAATGATGTAGAATCTTTTCACAGATGAAGAAGCGACTTCAAATGACAGAAATGTGGTTCATCAGAAGTATACAGAGAATAACGTAAGACGAAAATGTGACGATGTTTTAGATTAAATGGAAACAAAAAAAATGACTCTGATACTTCAACTTTCTTCCATATAAGTATCTAGAGTAAATAATGAGGAAAGATTACCTAGAAAATTTCATACACACAAGACAGATTGAACGCAAAATGAACTGAAGTAAACAAAGCATAAACTAACTAGCAAGCTTCATTAAGTAGTTGGCAGGATAAGGTCTAAGAGAAATAACAAAAATGCAGCATTTATTAAAAGCTTCAGGAAATAGTAGAGAGCCATTATCGCCAACGTCCAGAAAGAACACGGTACATAGAAAAAAAGTAGAAGGTGCAGAGATACTGATTCCTATATTTCTCCAAGAATTAAGTGCCGAATAAAGATAAGCATCTGAAATTCGAACTCTATCAGACCATTCATCTTTCTGGGGGGGATAACTATTATGCTTAGATGTTCGCTATGATAGATTGTCCCAGTTTAATTAAGTTTCCTGGATAGTATAATAAAAACTAAAGATATACAAAAAAGAGAGACAAAATAGTTTGTTATTCTCATTATAATGTCGGTGTGCAAATGAATAGAATTGTATGAAAATTTATTAAACTGTTCAAAACTATGTCGGTCTTTGAGAAGTAAGAAGTTTAAAGGAATGGGCACCAATAAGAATCTTTCTTTTTTTTTAAAAAAAAAGGAGGCCGAAGACTAAATTTCATTGTTCGGATTTGAAAGCTTCGTGATAAACTAAATCTTGACGAGCAGCGAGAATTGAGGAATTGTTTTAAAACAAATACAAACCGAAAATAACATGTTCTATAACAAAATTAATTAATTAATTAATTAACAAAGGTAAGAAAACAGTCCCCCTCTCTCTTACTTTCCCTCATTCAATGTGTCTTCTCTCTCACTCAATCTGTACAATTTCCTTTCGAGAATTAGCCGTTTATGGTTATCCACAGCATTCTGACTTATTGTTCTAATCAATAATTTCTCTTTTATGCCGTTTTTCTTTGTGGGGCTCGATTCTGTATCCGTTTACTTAAACTTGTCAAGGTTATTCAATGTTTATCATTGCTTAATGTGTCTTCAGTCTGTCTTTGTGTGTGTGAGTGTGTATTGTTGCTTTTGTGCGTGAAAGAAAGAGAGAGAGAGTGAGAGAGAGAGAATCTGGCGTTCTGACTCCTTTTATAATTCATAAAATGTTACAACCGAGAAACAGCAAGGCAAAAATGGATAACGTTGCATGAAGACCAAGTAAAGAAGCACAGAATATTAAAGTGAAACACAAAATATAAAACTGAGTATTGAAAAAAAAGAAAGAAAGTGTAAGACGAGAAAATAGAAGAAAACTAATAAGAAAAACGATAGACAAATCAGAAAACACGAGAATCAAATAAGAAATGCAGGAAAGTGAATAAGAAATGAAAGAAAATAGAAAGAAAGAAAGAAAGAAAAGTGTAAGGGAGAATTAAAGAAAACAAAAGAGAAAGAAGGAATCGAATAAAAAAAGCAATAAAAAAATAAAAGAAAAAGAGAAACAAATGAGAAATTCGGGTAAAAAAAGGAAAGAAAAGGAAGCCAACAAAGAAACTTCGATGGAAAAAAAAAAAACCTGAAAGGAAAAAAGAGAGAATATCAAATATAGAAGTTAATAAGAAAGAAACATAGAATTAAGTAAATCTAAAAAGGAAGACAAAGTATTTTAGATTCTGAAAAGTAAAGTCAATAAACGTGTTACATCATAAAAAAGAAGAATATTCCCTTTAGCATTATTTTACCAAAGAATATCAACTATTCTGCTATTCTTTTATCACTGCTAAAAGCAAATGGCCTCATTTCCCTCTGTCCTTTCATCAAGATGATTTTGAAAATAAAAGCCATCAGCAAAGTCACTACAACAGAGAATGCTAAGTGAAAAAGCATTTTAACTTCGTGGAATAATTTTTTCCGCTTTTCTCTTTCATAATTTTCTTGGTTTTATTAAAAGTTACGCTTTCTTCCTTTTCTTTTCAATATTTTCTTTCGAACTTTTCTTTTTTCCTTCCTGTTCTTTTGATTTCCATTTACGCAATGTTCTTTTACAATATTTTTCGGACAGTTTTTGTTTCTTATTTACTCTGTTCAGCCTTCATTACTGCCTTCATTCATTCTATTTTTTTATTTGCTCCTTATTTGCCACTTCATATCCATTTTCCTAGTCCCTTTCGGTTGTGTCCTCAACAAATGCCTCTTTATAGTTTCTTTCTATTTTACAAGCTTTAAACGCAACTGTGTAAGCCTATTGCTACTCTCTCTCTCTCTCTATATATATATATATATATATATATATATATATATATTCACAGTAGTGTAAAAGATTGCGGCTAGGATTGAGAAAAACGAAGGGTAAGTTCGAATTCCAGTCGAGTTCATTAAATTCACTCTTCTCCCCATCCCCACACCTACGAGTATATAGCAGGAGAGAGTGAACCCAGTAGCCTTTTTCCAACCTGTCTAGGAGCAGGGCAACTCTAAATGTGTATGAGGTGAGGGTGATAGATAATAATTATCTTTAAGACAACTTACATTCTGCCCTAGAATAATACACAAGCGTCCATGAGCCTGGGTTTTCATTTTCTTTAATGGCACCGTAATGAAGTGAATATTGGATTTTCCTTCATAGATGTTGCTGGGCGAAAAAGTTTTGGAACGTTAACATGAAAATAAGTAAGGTGTAGATTTCCTGTAGACGCTAAAGGAATTTCATGTAGACACTAAAAGAATTTTCATCAAATCTTAATTTGTTTACGACATATTCTACGTCTAAACACTTGCTCATATATTTTACCATTTTTTAAAATAGTCTTATAACCAGTCACAATTAAAAAGAGAACCGTATACCTGTTCGTGGACACTCGCCTTACCCACTAATACACTTTATATTAACGATGTAAGATCAATATTTCTTTAAAGAACTAGAAAAGATTTACTACAATGTACTTATAGGCAAGAGGGTCCCACTTAAAATTGTCACTATATCATATATACCATAACCCACATATATTTGAGGAAGTCCCACTTGAATCCAATTACTCTTTCGTTTTAGGACGGAGGCAATCGTGGATTTCCAAAACATACGGACGTCATTTGTAGAATTTAGAAATATTTGTCATATTTTCCGTGTTTAGGCATCCATTTATACAAGATCGTTACGTAGGTTAAATGCTTTGATAAAGTCCCTCAGGGGAGGAAACGTTTCGACTAAGATAAGATCCTTTTGTCTTTAATCATATTGTCCTTTTACAGGTACACTTATCTGTATTTTTTACATATATATGTATGTACGCATGCAGTAGAGAGCAAATGCAGATCCAGCAGGGTTATATATCAAGCAATCATTTTCCCCAAAGCACATATGAAAAAGTATAATGTTTACAGTAGAATTTCCGCGGGGGAATGGAAACAGAGATTTTATACCCATAGGCACTTCATTTCTAACTCTAAACTAAAATACCAGACAGCTCATTCAAAGAAATTTTGAGAATTGAAGGAGAAAGGTTTGAACCCGCAGATAGTTTGGAAGATTACAGGTTCCGCACGTACTACTAATAGTCTTAGAAATAAGTGTGAATTATATTTAGAAGAAAAAAGTAGAATAATAAAAAAAACAATAATAAAAGCCAACTATTACATCAGAGGAATGAATTAGTATTAAAACTTCGGCATAAAAAAAACACATTCAAATTTCCATAATATACGTTTTACTTAATCTCTATCTATAAAAGGCAGGATGTGTGTGTGTGTGTGTGTGTGTGTGTGTGTGTGTGTGTGTGTGTGTGTGTGTGTGTGTGTAACGAATGCACGGCCGCAATTTTCGACGGATTTGCACCAAAATTCGCATGCACATGGTCCAACTTAGCGAGAAGGCCAAGACCGACATTACGTTTCCCAACTCCCATCGATAGTGGAAATATTCGATTTTTTCATGTAGTTTGCGGCCATTTTCTACTGGCCAGAGTGAGAGCCTATGGCTGGCTGCCACGAATAGGCAGGAAGATTCTATTGGCCAGCATGAGAGCCAACAGCTGATTGACACGAATGTTAACTAGCATGTTAGCCTGCAAAAAAAAAATCGATAGCTGCATTCGTCACGACTAGCAAAAAATTAAATCTGCATGACACTTTACTCCAATTGGCTCATTCGCTTGCTGAAACTCAACATTGATTCTGATTCCGCAGAACTGTGCTGGGTGTGAAAAAGTATTTGTTGTTAACATTCTTAAAGCTGATCGTTTTGTGTCCATTTTGTTTAGTTCTTTTTTCGTAATAGATTTAATGTTTAGTATAGAGCTTAGAAAAAATTCGCAGTGCAAGTAGTAAGGCATGGAGCAACATCATCACTACAAAGGACACTCCTTTGAAGGCAAGGAAGGGCAAAAATATTTTAAGTCAAGTGATAGCGATTGCTGTATGAGTCGTACGATTTTTGAATCAAGCACGGGCAACGCCGGGTCATGCTGCTAGTAATTCTTAAAATCTAAAATTATTTTCCTGGTTTTAAATAATCTTCACAAGTCTGATAAGTCGTACAAAACAAATCAGTTATTCCACTTAAAACAATGAAGAAGTATGACTTGGAGGGCATGTTCGTATTAAGGTAAGTGTTGTTTCTGATGAAGAAAAACCCGACACGGTGGCAAGTATTTTAGTTAAAGAGTTTCCCTCCTAATGAGTCAATTAAGTTTGATATGTGATACAGGCTTCAATGATTATACCTCTTTCGATTCATGACTGCCTAGGTAGAAGATATGCCCGTAGTATACTTTTTTTTTTTATTCTGAGGTGCAATAGTAGCGATTGCTGTATGAGTCGTATGATTTTTGAATCAAGCACGGGCAACGCCGGACCATGCTGCTAGTTAGCTGCTATAATTCTCTAACTTTTCAAATGCCGAATGCATAACTAATTCTAATTTCTAGATTCCCATCTTTACAATATATAAATTTTATCTTATAAATTTCCTCCTGCTCTAAGAACTTTCTTTTCTTTTATCATTTACATCTCTTTATCTATATATTTTAGGGCTGTTTGTGAATTTGTTAAAATGTATAAAAGTATTCCATATATTTCGATTTTTCAAATGTTCATTATTTAACATGAAAAGCACATGATGAATTTTCATGAAATCTGGTTCAACGGTAGATCAAAAAAGTATTAAACCACTGTGAAGACTTTTCTTTAAAATAAATTTGTAACGAGTGAAGAGGAAAATAGGTCCAATGGTGCCCAGCAAATGACCAAATATTAAACGGAACCTGATTGCAAGAGTACCCAAATGGGTACTAGTAATACAAAATGTTAAATCTGATGCACAAAAACAGCTCAATAAGGTTATTAATATAGAGCACTATAATTAATAAACAATAAAATCTTCGTTTGAACTCATAGATAGTTCGGAAAATTATAGGTTTCGCACGTACTCTTAATTATGACTTATGTTTAGAAGAAAAATTAGAATAATAAAATACAATAATTAAAGCCAAATAGAATGAATTAATGTTAAAATATCGATACTAAATCAAATTCAAATTTCTATAATGTAGGTTTAACTTAATTAACTACTATATTTCCATAATATTCACTTCTCTCTAACTTTTCAAATATCCAAAGTGTAACTAATTTTAATTTCTATCTCCCAGCTCTATAACCTCTTTACACTATATTAACATTTATAAACTTCCCCTAGTCTAAGATTTCCCCAACTCACTTTCCGTTAATCCAATACATACTTTTATCTATATACTTTCAAGTTATTTTTAAACATTTTTTATTCCTCTTTTAATTTTAAATTAAGATTTCATTCTTCATAAAACCCCGAATTTACGTCATAAGGTTAATAATCGGGTTTAATTATATAAAACTTCTTCCCTTTAAGACAAATACCTTCGACCCTTCCCTGATCCCTGATTTGTGCCTTTCGTCTGAATGAAACATTGAAATAGATAAATTCTGTATTAATTTTTTGACTGGTTATTTTTTTGGTTATTTTTTTAGCTTTCACAGTTAAGTTTCTATTTTCTGATCTAACACGAACTCAGGGGTTGATAAGACAGTCGACTGATACCGTCGTCTGCCGAAATACGCTATTCGCCATATGAGGTGATTTGAGATTTTATTGTTTATTAATTATTTGCTCTGTAATAATAAATAAATTGAGCGCTTTTTGTGGATCAGTCTTAATCTTTTTCTATTACTAGTATCCAATTGGATTATATATATATATATATATATATATATATATATATATATATATATATAATTTTTATCAATTCTGTTTATATTTTAATATTTTAAACTGCTCTCTATTAATCACCACAGAGATCCTTCCCCGCCCTCCATTAGAATGTCTGACGCTCAACTTCTCGAGAGCAACTCTCTGCGGCTTCTCGGTATCACGTTGACTGCTGACCTGAGATGGAATAAATACATTGAGTCAATTGCTTCGTCCACTGCAAGGAAAGTTGGCTCCCTGAGCCACGCCAGGAAGTTTTTCTCCCCGGTGTCGATCCTCCAGATCCACAAATCAACAATTCGCCCTTGCATGGAGTATTGCTGCTATATATGGTCTGATGCCTCTTTTGTTTGCCTCGGGGTTCTTGATAGGCTCCAGAGGCGGATATGCAATGTAGTTGGCCCTGCCCTGGCGTCTCGTCTACAGTCACTTTCTCACAGACGCGCCGTCGCCTCCCTCTGTCTGTTCTACAAATACTTTCATGGAAATTGCTCCGAGGAGCTGCATTCGCTGGTTCCCAGGCGTCATGAGTTTCAGTGCCTTACGAGGCTGGCATCCCGCTCTCACCCCTTCACTGTCGAAACTCCTAAATGTAGCCGTCTCTTCTACTCTAATAGCTTCATGTCTCGCACCTCTCGCCTGTGGAACTCCCTTCCCTATTCCTGTTTCCCTGTGAGCTATAATCTCCAGCTATTCAAGTGTAATGTCAATCGACATTTCCAGTTGCCTTGATCTATCCACTACCCTCATCCTTTCTTCTATCACTCCTATCTGATCTTGCTCTAAACTTTCTGTAACTCCTTGCGTCCTAGTGGCTTCCCGCCTTGCTTGGGGTGAAATGCTTAAAAAAAAATGCTCTGTAATGTTCAATCAACCATATTGAACAACTTTACAGCATTTTTGCTTATTTCCGTGTTTTAAAATATGGTTTGTCATAAACATTTTGTATTGCCTCTACCGGTTTCTACATAATAGAAAGCATAATAAATAAAATGTGGTCTCTGGCAAAGTTATCTCGAGTGCGCAGGCCGGTAGACGAAATACACCGTATTTAAGATAAAATTTTTAAAAAAAAAACGTTTTTTTCTTTCAAACACGAATATTCACAAAATTAACGTTTGAAATAATAGAAATGTTGGATTAAAATTGATCCGTTAATTTATTCTATTTTTTTTTTTTTTTTTTAGCGTTTCACCCCAAGCAAGGCGGGAAGCCACTAGGACGGGGTTACAGAAGATCAGATAGAAGTGATAGAGGAAAGGATGAGGAGAAGTATAGTTCATAGATCAAGGCAACTGCAAATGTCGATCTACTATATATATATATGTGTGTGAGACAGACGTTTCTATCAACACTTTCTTCTCAGATAGACAGAACAAATTAATTATAGAAATGAAAGCAAACGTTGTTTCTTTTTTTTTTTCTGAATATTCTTTTTGCAAATTTGTTGCCAATCATCATTAGAATTTTCTGTTTAAGGGAGAAACGGTATTTCGTTTTAAATTTCCTTCCTAAGAACCATTATCTTAAAGAAGAATGATATTTATTAATGAATATTAGAAACATGTTTATTCCAAAAAATTATACAAATGTAGGTATATCGAAAATTTTGAATCATGCGAATTTAAAAACGTTAGAAATAGCTTTTTTCAACATATTCATGTTAACGTAATAAGTAAACACCAACCAGATATAAAACTCATGAATAACCGATAATATATTTAAGAGTATATCCCAATGGAATTAGCGATCATGTGAAAAATCTTCCATTCATTGAAGATAATTGACCTGTAAATAAGTACACTAAATATCAAACCGGAATCGGTAGAAACTAGCGTTATTCCTTTCCAAAAAGTTTGATTCTATTTTCAGAACGCGGAACAAAAGCAAATTTTCCAAAGCATAGAATCGATATGAAACTACATGGAATATGGTTCGGCCAAAAGAGAGGCTTGTTTTATTCCAGATGTAAACATTGACGAAAGACCTTATTAGATTACGTAACGAAGAAAAATGAGAATCGGCTACTCGCCAAAATGAAACTGGAATAATGCAGTCATGCATCATTTTCTCATTCATTTTGAATTTATAATCACCCCTCTCTCTGTCTCCAATATATATATATATATATATATATATATATATATATAAAAATTCTTGTGTGTGTGAGTTCATATGTAGGTAACATGCACATTCCTGTCAGCTATATAGATACACGTCCATAAATGTAAATATAGAACGTTCGTTAATTTTTTTTGTTCTTCATCCTTCCTGCAAAAATATATATACACACGCATATATATACTGAAATAAATATATATATATATATATATATATATATATATATATATATATATATATATATATATATATATATATATATATATATATATATATATATATATATATACATATTATATATTATAATGTATAATATATAAACATGTAAGTTTGTTATATATAACAAACTTACAGTATTCGCGTTTACTTATTTAAATGGCCAGTGTGTTTATATAAATCGAGAGGAAGATAATGACGAAAACTTATTTCCCAACAAATATTTATTTTCCAACATATTGCTTCTTCTTGGCAATGGAATTAGTACACAGTTTCTCTATTAATCACCTAATTTGAACTATATAGTGAATGCCACATCACTTATAATTGCTTCCATCTAATCTCGGGGTACATGGCCGATAAGATGACTCTTGTGACCAGAATTTGATTTCGTAGGTATCATGCATTTATCACGTAAACTCTGTATTGGATCTGCATAGCCTACAACTCTCCAGGTTACCACGATGTGACTTTTCAGTCTAGATCTGCAAAGCGTGTTGCTGTATTGTTGGCAGGACAATGAGGCAGGTTGGCTCTGGCTGTTATGGTGACCTTTTAGATGATTTTCATTACCTGTCCTCGACAACTGCATGCGTTTACAAACATTACATTTCCAAGGCTGCATATTAGCCGCCTAATCCCTGTGCCTGCTTCTTCGTAGATCACGCTTGATCTGATAATGTCTGAGAAATTAATCCTCAAACGCATTGCATGCTTCCTTTAAAAGATCCCACCACAGCATAAAATTTAAAGTCAGTTCTTTCAATTGGTGTACATCCATGTGCAATTTCGTCAGATTATCTTTCAAATTATTTATATACATTGAACATTGCAGCCACAATGTGCTTAAGACTTGGGCGATGCAAAAAGCCTACTGATCTAACTCAATATTTTGTCAGCTATCCGGTAACAACTGGTCTTTATCCAACAATTAATTGAAAATTATTATTCAGCGAACCACACATATATGCAGAACCATTTCACTGAGTATTATATATATATATATATATATATATATATATATATATATATATATATATATATATATAAGTTATGAAGAATTTGGTATACCGAATTGGTAATTCCAAGGAGGATGAAATCCTGAGAGCTCAATGTGAAGAACAGAGCAAATATTTAATGAAAAACAGACACTTTAAGGTACCATTACAATAATTTATTTCACCAGTGTGTGTGTGTGTGTGTGTGTGTGGATGTCATGCAATTAAGACTGACAAACGGATAAATGGAAGCACTATAAAAACAGTTGACTACATTGTACTGTAGGCGGGTTTGGGGTGTGGAGTAATGGGTAGTGTTTCGGAAATTGAAACCTGAAAGCGGACTTCGAACTCCAGTCGGGTTCGTTACGTTCACTTAGGCACAAATAGCCTTGGAAAAGATATGGATTCATCTCTTCAACCAGCTGTAGGTTTAATAGCAGGACAGACTGGGTCCTATAGACTTGGTTGGCTACTACTGCACCTCAGAAGAAAACAAAAACAGTATACTACGGGCATATCTTCTACCTAGGCAGTCATGAATCGAAAGAGGTATAATCATTCGAGCCTGTATCATATATCGAACTTAATTGACGCATTAGGAGGAAAACTCTTTAACAAAAATACTTGCCACCGTGTCGGGTTTTTCTTCCTCAGAAACAACACTTACCTTAATACGAACATACCCTCCAAGCCATACTTCTTCATTGCTTTAAGTGGAATAACTGATTTGTTTTGTACGACTTATCAGACTTGTGAAGATTATTTAAAACCAGAAAATAATTTTAGATTTTAAGAATTACTAGCAGCATGGCCCGGCGTTGTCCGTGCTTGATTCAAAAATCGTACGACTCATACAGCAATCGCTATCACTTGACTTTAAATATTTTTGCCCTTCCTTGCCTTTAAAGGCGTGCCCTTTTCCGTGCTCATGTTGCTACATGCCTTACGTCTTGCCTTTCTCACACTGCGAATTTTTCTAAGCTCTATACTAAACATTAAATCTATTACGAAAAAGAACTAAACAAAATGAACACAAAACGGTCAGCTTTAAAAAAAGGACTTGTAACTGGAAAAACCGAATGAAAAAAGAATGTTAACAACAAATATTTTTCACTCCCAACCCAGTTCTGCGGAATCAGAATCAACGTTGAGTTTAAGCAAGCGAATGAGCCAATTGGTCATGCAGATTTAATTTTTTCCTACTTGTGACGAATGCAACTATCGATTTTTTTGCATGGTAGCATGCTAGTTAGCATTCGTGTCAATCAGCTGTTGGCTCTCACGCTGGCCAATAGAAACTTCCTGCCTATTCGTGGCAGCCAGCTATAGGCTCTCACTCTGGCCAGTAGAAAATGGGCGCAAACTACATGAAAACTGCCGTAGAAGCATAAAAAAATCGATTATTTCCACTATCGATGGGAGTTGGGAAATGCAATGTCGGTTTTGGCCTTTCCACTAAGTTGGAGCATGTGCATGTCAATTTTGGTGCAAATCCGTCGAAAATTGCGGCCGTGCATACGTTACACACACACACACTCTCACACACACACACATATCCTGTCTTTTATAGATAGAGATTTGGAAATAAAAATTATGTACAGATAACTATTTTACTAATTAAACCTTAGCTGGAGAATGAAGAGGCAAGTCCATACTCTTCCCAAATATATTTACGCGTAAGTGAATATAAAGATCTCGGCTAGATTTGGAACCCACAGCTCTCCGATTACCAATGACACCAACCGCATCTCCAAGTTTACAACACCTTATATTCTCAAGCGGTCACCATCTATGTACTGACAAGACTTGACGTTGGTTAACTACGATGATCGTAGAAGAACCAATCGTAGCCTTGCAGTAAGAGGAGTAGGAAAAATGCTACACATGCATTAAAAATAGCCGATATAAACTGGAATATCTGCACGAGAGATAAGTAATAAACAGACCAATGAAATTATTCAGAAATAAATGCATAAATATTTATTCGTCTATATTTATGAGATGAGGTAATTATTTATACTATTTACATCGTTCGGACTGTTGTCCTCATCTGTATTGCAATGTTGACGATGTTTCAGCCGTTGTACACTCCGGCCTTCTTCAGATGATATACGTTGGAATTTCGAACTGAAGCTTTTATTTAGTCCACGGGTTTATATTGGACGTGTCATGCAATTTTTTTTTTTTGTGGGGGGATATCTCAGTTTCAGTTAATTCCCTTTAGAAACTCAACTCTGCAAATTATTATTCCCTCTGCTGAAGACAGGTATCGAACTAAAATCTTTTGGTTCAAGTCACTCTTTGTATCACTCAAACAACACTTTCATCTACTGGGCCATGTGTCATTGGTGACAAAAATGTGACTTGACCCCAAGAGTTGTGAGTTCAATACCTAACCACAGAAGAGTGAACAAAATCTTGGAGAATTGAGTTAAGGGAATTAACTGAAATTGAGATAGCCAATAAAAGACATGTCATTTAGAATTAGAACTATCAAACTGTGATTAAATAAAGGGTTCGATAGAAGTTCCAGCGTATATAACCTGAAGAAGGCTGAAGCGTAAACGGCCGAAACATCGTGAATAAAAATAAGGACAACAGTTTGAACGATGTAAATAATGTAAACAAATATTTCATGGTGACCTACCAGACACTACCCGTAACATACTTGTTGACAACACTAACATAATAGCATCATCTACATGCAAAAAAGGTTAAAAATAATGGAAGCCTTGTTAATATAAACAGAAAAAAAAACAAACAAAGCAAATACTTAATAATATTAACTTTGAACCTCCACGCAATGTCTTGACTGTGTTTTGAAAAATGAAGACATTTTATAAACATACATACAACAAACTATTACTTATTTAACAGTTAATCCTTGAAAATGGCTAAATGTATACGCGAAAGCACTCGGATAAATAGAACATTCGGACAGATTTTTTATAATTTTTCATCCGAAAAGAAAAAAAATATATAAGATCGCATGAGAAATTGTATAAAAACTAAATAAAAGCACCTTGTCTGTCGTATTCAATTAAATGTAAATATATATATATATATATATGTAAATATATATATATATATATATATATATATATATATATATATATATATATATATATATATATATATATATATATATAGCTGGCTACTTGTATTCGAGGATACCGTCTACTAGCGCGGCTAGCAAATTCCTATTGCAGACGCTCGCTCGGGCATATTTATGTTTGCTCTCAAATCTGTGGTTTATAATGCAACTATGCTGAGCAGACCTTAGTTACAGAGTCTGGGAGAGAGCGTGTTATCTAGCGTGATCAACAATTTGAATAAGGCCAACACGCACAAGGCCTCGGTCTCGATGACATGTGGCTTCGTGCTAGCGCAGCTATCAACGGCCCACAAGAGTTCCGTCTACCCAGTTTCACTCAGAAGCCTTGGGTCAACCAGTGGTATAGTTTTCAGGCACTTTCCAAAGGTACCGCACGCTGGGATCGATCTCGAACCCGTCCGATAACATTAGGAAGTCGCATTCCCTAGAGTCATACATACACGTGTGTGTGTGTGTGGTTGTGGGGCCGAGTGATTAGAACGTTCGCTTTTGAATCTCACCATGATCGATTTTATATATATATATATATGATTTTACCTTAGAGCCTTTAGGATATGTAGCCCTAAATACATTAATGAAGAAGAGTATTATATTGAGAACACATTCCAACTTCTACACTACATATTCTATTTCATCTTAAATAGAAGAAATGAATTCACAAAATCCATAAAACGACATACAAATATTTCCGAAAAGAATTACGCAATTTCAACACTTCAACTAAACTCACAAATTAATTAGCCATCCTTAATACCAGGATTGTTACAACCACCTCCAAAACTATTGGATAATCAGGATGAAAAATAAGTAACAATTCAAATGCAGGAATTTATCATAGAAATTGTCTACAGTGCAAGAACATGCACATGGGGGAGACTTCACGTGATCTAAAGTCCCGCATGCAGGAACGCAAAAGAGATTTGCGTTTAGATAAATATTCAATTTCTCTCGTATTACATAGCAACAACGTAAGACATAATTTTAATTTCACCAATGCCAGCCTTATCAAAAACGAACATAACTCTTTAAAAAGAAAATATGAGGAAAATATATTCATAGTAACATTACCAACATCTCGTTTGGGGAAATCCCTTCAGATATCTTCCTTACATCTCACCTACAATCTTCAATAACTTAAATGCAACGTTGATATCCATTTTCTGCCTTCCTGCATCTTGTTTCTTCATTGTCGTTTTCCTCACTAAAGTTTTTTTCACTCACATCCCTCCATGTAAAGCCTTATGATTTAAAGGCATTTTCATCTTGCTTGGAGTGAAATCATTTTTAAAAAAATTAATATATTTGATAATAAAAAGAATCGGCAATCTGGATAAAATTAAATAATTTTCATTTATTTTTTTACATGAGATTAATGCATTGATATTATTTGATAAAGGAAAATCAAAAGGAAACATTTGTGATATTTTTGCAAGTAATTAAAACCAGTAAAAAAATATTAAACTTAGTATCTCTAAATTAATTTTGCTATGTATTCGGACCGACACACGATATGTGGCAAGTTGGCATCAGTCATTATCACAAATATTCAAAAGTCAGAAAAATAAAATTGCGATCACGGTATACGAATTTCATCTAATTTCTTTCTTTCTGTATAATGATTGAAGCCAGATGAAAATTCAGAATCTTAATAAGAAGTAACACAGACGTTGAACCATTACGTGTTAAACGTCAATAAACGGAACGGAAATTCATTGCCAAGAATGAAAGCCTATTGAAATCTAAAAGGCATAACTCATCAGCAATCGTTAAAAACATTTTTGAATATATATATATATATATATATATATATATATATATATATATATATATATTAAATATTAAAAGATGTGTGTATATATATATATATATATATATGTGTGTGTGTGTGTGAAAATATATAGAAAATAGGAAAGAACTCGTTAGGTAAATAATCCAAAATTATTTAGTATTTTTGTTATCATTTTTAAAAATAGTGCTCGATACAAAAGTAGAGCATAAATATAATTATTTATTTAAAAATATGATTCCAACACGCTATATAAAAGTTCTCATGTTTCAAACATGAGAACTCTTATGTAACGTGTTGAATCATTATATATATATATATATATATATATATATATATATATATATATATATATATATATATATGTGTGTGTGTGTGTACCAATCGTGCATGCTTAAAATATTGCTGCTACATATGGTCTGTCGCCCATGCTACTTACCGTGATTTCCTTTATAAAATTCAAAGAACCAGCAAATCTATCTCTCCTGAACTGGCGGCTCGGCTTCAGTCACTTTCGTAAGGTTTCCTCTCTGTGTTTTTTGGGGGTTTTTTTGCCTATAAGTACTTTCACATTAATTGTTTGGATGATATCTTCGCTGTGATACCTAGACATTTTGAATTTAAACGCAATACTCGTCTGGTGTCGAGATTTCATCATTTAATTGTTGAGCTGACTAGATGCAACCGTAAATTATATGCTAGCAGTTTATTTTCTCGCATTTCTCGCATATGGAACGCCATTTCATCCCCATGCTTTCCAGCCAAATTTAATCTGCAAAAAATTTAAATCGCTATCTACTGTCCTCCTAAATACTCTTATATTTTCCCTCTAACTATTAAGGTTTCTATTCCTAATTCTTCCACGCGCAAGCCGAAGTGGTTTTACTGCTTTGCATGAAGTGAAACCGATCATATATACATATATATATATATATATATATATATATATATATATATATATATATATATATCTTCACCCAATACAAGGAGAGAGTTACTGTCTCGTGTTGTACGAGTTTATTAAAATGCAAGGAGTGATTTTCATTTGGCTATGTATGAAAGATAATGGTTAACTCTAGACCTGAAAAAGTGAAAATTGCAGTGATTGTGAAAACATTCTACCAGGAGATCTTGGGTAGATTTCGACTTAATTGAACTTAATAGGAACTATACGAACACGAATGAAATGTTGGTTTATTCACCCTAAGGGAGGTATCGTGGCGTGTCCCAGTTTCAAAGTTCAGAGTTTGTAGAATTAGAGAATGTACCTCGTTAGAATACATGCCATGGAAGTAGTGATCGATCTGCGATTTTTGTCTGTCGGAAATAGGTTGCAGAGTGGAAAATATTCATCACATACAAAGCCGCGTCGTTCTTTTGAACTCTACAAAGACTGACAAATGAGTACTGGTCAGTTCCAATCCAGATAATTCTCCATTTTTAGTCAGATCTATCTCTTGAATATATACAGTATAGCAACTTGAGGAAGATACTTACTGGAATGGTGCATTGAACCAACCATTTTTCCAGCATCTTTAGAAATAGATCCGATATATGAGTTCCACTTGAGAGCTACGTAGAGCAGGAATTCCAGTAGACGTTCAAGACAATGAGCCTCCGTGAGAGAACACCCACCCCTCCTGCTCGGCGGTGTTTAAACGTTACTACTAATAAAATATGAGCTAAATCTTAAAAATAAGCTAAAGGCTGAAAATATAGAATGAACTAAGATTCAATGCTTACAGAGCTTGAATGAAGTATATTATAATATTATTAACACAATTAAAATGGTAATCAAAATGCCCTAATCAGAGTATCTGGCTATAACGAAGTTTTCAAGCAGACTAATTATGAAAGTATTTATTGCTTTAATCCAGCTTATATCCACTGCCCCGGATGTATATCTATAAATAATTATTTCTATACCAAGAGACGGCGATCGATTCGATTCTCTTATTTAATAACAGGCCAACCATTCGGTGTAGAATAAGTAATTTCTCACTAAGGCACAAGTTACAACTTTCGTCAACACCCTAGCTTTTGTGATATTTGGCTGTTCTACTAGTAGTAAGTAGAAAGACCAGTGCTACTGTTATTTTTTCTGATTTTCAGGCACATCTTATGTTTATAGTAATATATATATATATATATATATATATATATACAGAGAGAGATTGAGAAAGAGAGAAAAATGGTGAAAATTATAATACGTCTAATTGCATTATAACATCGATAATTGACGCCACTGTCTAATAGATAAATCGGAACGTAAAATTAAGTTATTTACCTTAATACATATTATGATTGGATGTTCCACATACAAAATTGAGTAATCAATTATGCTATATCAAATAAATATCAAAGTAGATAGATAGATAGATAGATAGATAGATAGATAGATAGATAGATAGATAGATACTGACTGACATAGATACATATGTCCTGATACAGATAGATAGATAGATAGATAGATAGATAGATAGATAGATATCCTCTTACTGACGGAGATATCTTCATATAGCCATTTACAATGTAACAGCGAAAACATGATAAAAAATTAACACCAGAGACAAAACGTCCTTGAAAATGGCTATAAAAGTTGCCGAAAGCGTTTGGAACAATAAAAATTATGGCCATTTTTCATATTCTTTAACTCCTACAAAACGGAAAAATTTTAGGATGCTGGAAAAACTTACAGAAATTAATTCAATCTACCTTGTCGGACGTATTCAATGATACACACACACACACACACGCACACACACACACATATATATATATATATATATATATATATATATATATATATATATATATATATATATATATATATATATATTACGATAAACGTGCAATCAATTTACAAATTCATGAATTATTCACACAAAAAAAATGCAAAGGTTAATGATTTAATTGGCAGAAATCCATCGTCGCAAACAATTCAAATAATATACAAAACCTCCGAATCCGTTATGAATGAAAAGATCCTTGTTTCTATAAATTTCTGCCGTATTAGTTCTTATTTTTACTACAAGCTTTCGTCTGTTCCTACAGACATCTTCAGGTATAGAATAGATGTTGTTCTTGTTTTTTCTCTTAGTAATAAGAGGACAACGAAAATATATGTATTGTTGTATCCGAAAATGCTATTGAAAATGAGTTATTGTTTTTGGAGCGCGCAGTAACAACGCTGAGTTTGATTTTAAAGATTCGGAGGTTTTTGTATATTATTTGAATTGTTTGCGACGATGGATTTCTCGCCAATTAAATCATTAACCTTTGCATTTGTTTTTGTGTGAATAATTCATGAATTTGTAAATTGATTGCACGTTTATCGTAATTTAAATAACTGATCCAAGTGCGACTTTTGGATAATAAGTGCGACATTACTGTAATTATTGAACAATATAGTTCATGCCACTTTGACAGAAAATTTACCAGTAAAAAATTCGTTCATCACCATATTTGTATATGAACGCACAACTTTTAAAAATTTAAAATCAAACTTTGTGATGAAAATGGCTTCGACAGCTTCTACAAATATATATTTGAGGGGAATCTACTGACTGAGATAGATACATATATCCTGAGATAGATAGATAGATAGATAGATAGATAGATAGATAGATAGAAAATGTTAGGATGCTGGAAAAACTTACAGAAATTAATTCAATCTATCATGCCGGTCGTATTCAATAATACATATATATATAAAAAGAGTTCAGTCAAGGGGAAATTAGGCCAGCGATATATGTAAGATGTTTATTACTGGTAATATTTTTCTATCTATCTACTTTGATATTTATTTGATATAGCATAATTGATTACTCAATTTTGTATGTGGATCATTTTAGTAGTGTAGGTTGCCGTATACTGAGCCATATCTGATGTGACCCATTTGTCGGAAAAGGTTACCCATGCCTTAGATAGATAGATAGATAGATAGATAGATAGATAGATAGATAGGTACTAACAGGCTAATGACATATATACTTTTATAGATAGAGAGAGATACCCACTGACTAGCATAGATATACAGATATCTACCTACTAGCATAGACTGACAGCTAGCTAGCTAGCTAGATAGATAGATAGATAAATACTAGCACAGATATTTACAGACTACTGACATATATACATAGATAGAGAGAGATGCCTACTGACTAGAATAGATATATAGATAACTACACACTAACAAATACTGACAGCTAGCTAGCTAGATAGATAGATAGATAGATAGATGTGTTATTCAATTTCGGAAATCTCGAACAAGAGATCACAAAAGATAAAAAAAAGGAAATGCTTTTAAAATGTCACAAAAATTGATTTGAGAAAAATATAACTAGATCAAGAAAAGTGCTTCGACCAGCAAGAAAAAAATGGGAAACTGTATTGCGAATGTAAACAAATAAAAGAAATGTATAATTCTAATCCATTAAAACACACAGTAACAACCGATAATAATTATAAAAATTAAATAAAAAACCCAGTATTAATTGTAGGTCTCTATAAAACTGATTTGGTTTTGACTTGGTTTGGTTTGGTTTACGGCATATCGATCACAATGGGTTATTTAATGCCGACAAGATGTTTATTACTGGTAATAATTTTTCTTCAAAAATTTATTTTTGGTAATATTTTTTTTACAATGTGTTTCTGGTATAAAAACCTATTTTTGCATTTTCATAGTGTTTTGAATCCCAGTTTGAGGGTTAAATATTTACCCATAGCTGGGAACCGAACAAGTAGTTTATCGCCCTGCCCACGACGCGGATTTAGTTTATCGTCTTATCCAAAACGCCATAAAAATTGGTTATCTATATATATAATTCACAAAATGTGTGTACATGTATGTATGTGTGTGTGTGTGTGTGTGTGTGTGTGTGTGTGTGTGTGTGTGTGTGTTCGGGTGTTGTTCATGTGTTTCCACAGTTTCATCCGATTTCGATGATTTTGTTTTGTTTCATAGTTAATTTTTCAGTACCGGTTTTGAGTCCAAAGTATTGACGACAATGGCTCTCCACTACTTCCTGTCTATTATAATTCTCAGCAAGGTTTCACTATTTACTATCTGTTCTTGGATATATATATTTAATAAAAAAAAACTTTAATAAAAATAAATAGTTTAAACTATTACAATAGTATTATTTATTATGATACAGTTACCTTTTCATGGCCACCCACATTCAAATTGTTATCCACCACCACCACCAACACCACTTGGGATATGCCTTAGTTGCACCCCAATGTTGTGACTAATATTGATTTTCGGGTGGGCTGACTTAAAACTTAAACTGCTCCAAATGAACGGCAAAAATTCCCAGTAATGAAATACCTGGTCAAATACGGGTTATACTGCTAGTTTATTATAGATTATAAAAAAAACTATATTAATATAATTTTCCACCTGTAACCCATTAATATCTATCGTCCATAAAATAGCATTAATTAGATAACTATATTATCTGAAGACATAAACTTGACAATGCTACAACCCTTAAATAATCATTATGAATATTCGAGTAAGAAAGATGTCATGGAAGGAGGAAAGACATGTTAAGTTAGAAACATTCGCAAAATCAATTGTTAAACAACTGATAAATAATATGTGATGTTATACAAAATATGGAAAAATGTTAAGATAATAATTTACTGCCATGTGGAATCTTGTATAAATAATTTATTTGATTTATTTATAATGAAAAATTGTTAAAATGTGATTTTTTTTGTTTTGCCTTTTTCATGAATCACGCTAAATAAAATGTTAACATGAATTTCTTTTTCAATCAGGATATAAAGGGTTTTCCAACAACTTAGACCGATTTTAAATGCGAATTAAGTTTAAGCGTCTAATGATGTTTTGTTCTTTTTCTTTCAGATTTGGCAAAAAAATTGGGCGATATTATTTTTCACGGATAATTGCCATGACTTAAATAATATGAACCAATAGAGAAATAAATAAATTTCCAGCAATAACACTGATTTATTTACTGCTGACTTTGATCCGTCTTAATTAAACAGCATTATATATAATTGTCATGGGTCCTTACCTATAACTACAGAATGAACACTTCCTAACACTATGTATACTACGCCTCTCAAGAGAGAGAGAGAGAGAGAGAGTGAGAGACGAATCGAGTCGAGCCGATAGTAGTTCACTCCAAACCAGACTGACAGTGATACTAACACCTTCCACATCTTGTATTATTATTCCGTGTAATATACCTTCGTTATTTCTACTCTTGTGTTCGTGTTGTTCTTTTTTGGTCCTAACCTGGACCATAACAATAATCCGTGTTAATGAAACACCCTTTATTTTATAATGCTAAATCCATGCAATATATTGCACGTATCAATATAGAGAAATCAAGAGAATTTAACAGACGTCGATTGGTTAATAACTATAACATTGCATAATAAACTCCGCCATCGTATGTGTGGTGTGAGTGTGCGATCGCGCATTCATGTTTGTACGTTTGTGTGATGTAATATTGATTTTGAAGATTTATAAAACGGATGTGACGTTGATTTATTTTCGGAAACAATAGTTTTAGACGAGAAAATTGTTTAAAGAAACCCGTCAAATATTCCAGACATATTTCACCTCGAGGAGGGAAAACACGAATTATTCAATGTGATAAAAACAAGTAAAGTAAAATAACAATAAAAATTTCTACCTAAAAAAAAGAAAAAAATGGGTAATAAAAAGTGCATTGAACGCACCAATGTTTCAGGATAGATTTTAGGAATATATATATATATATATATATATATATATATATATATATTAGAAGAATAATAAATAAATATATATATTAAAAGAGAGAGATAGAGGAGTACACGCACGTGCGTTTGTTTATGTGTGTAGAGGTGTCTGTGGAGTTGTGAATGTGTGTGAGTTTTATGTGAGTGCAGAGATAGATGGAAATATTCCTGTGTACATGTTAGTGTGTGCGTGCGTGTTTATGTGTACGTATATGTATCAGTATACGTTAATTCAAACTGGTGATACAAATATAGCTACAGACATACATAGATACAGAGATACATATATACATACATACATATTTACATTCATATTAAAAAAAACTGTTTTATCCTTTTAAACATGTAAAGGCAAAGTGGGGATATTTTGTGGTAACTTATATATGCATACATGCATATATATATATATATATATATATATATATGTGTGTGTGTGTGTGTGTGTGTGTGTGTGTGTGTGTGTGTGTGTGTGTGTGTGTATACACGATGATTCAAATGTACGTATAAGATATAGAGGAGAAAAATGTGTATCCTTTATCCCTAGTATAATTGTGTGACAGGATATTTTTTGTATATTATTACAATGTCCAGTAGATGAATAAAAATAATGTTTAAAATAAGCGGGCGTTTAACCAAATATTAATATCTATTAAAAATAGCATTAAATGTAATAGAAATTTTGGATTAGAAATTTTGGAGTAAGAAATAATAGACATTTAAACACACGCGCGCAAGCACAGATACGGTATCTAGCCACCCCCCACGAGGGTTGCATGTGGCACAAGGCCGAGTTTATCGTGGGTTTCCCGAGCCCGTAGGCTCAGCCAAAAAATGCCCGTATAACCCGTATAAACGAGATCGGATAGGCCATTCTCCCCGAACGAGATTCTGCCCTTCGGCGGAACCTCGTCCGAGTTCCTTTCTGCTCAAAAGCAGAGAGTTCGACCGTTAAGTCGAGAATCTCGGCTTGATTCGACTTGATTCAAGCACAGATACACATACATATACACACAAAGTCACACCCATAGACATTTTTTTTTCTTAAACAGTGAAATTAAAAACAACCAGACTAAAATGAGAAATCTTACTGAAGAAAAATTGCGCTTAGGACATGAATCAAACCAGTATCCTTTTTCTTCATGAGGAAACTAATTCGATAGGCGAAACGTGCCATTGCCAATTTCGCAACAGTATACCATCGGGATAGGGCAATGTTTGATTGACCTATTTAAGGAATGCACATTTCTCGTTGGAACATCTACGAATCTATATCTACTTGCTTCAATTTCCTACCCGAAGCGTAAAAAATAAGAATTTTTAAAAGGATTTTTTTTATTCAACATTATTTCCTATTGCTATAAACGTTATAAGTAACACGTGAAAAATATCTTTTCTAGAAATAAGAAATATTTTTGGAAAAAATACTTTTAGATATTTCTTTTGTCTCTCTCTCTCTCTCTTTTATCATATATATATATATATATATATATATTCAATTATATATATATATATATATATATATATATATATATATATATATATATATATATATATATATATTCAATTATACATATATATATATATATATATATATATATATATATATATATATATATATATATATATATTATGAAATAGTCTAAGTACAACAATTATTTCAATATATTTTATTGTTATACGTTATTCCTATAAACAGAAATATTTAAGTAAATGCTCTGTTTATAATAAACAGTATTAAAACATTTACCGGCCTGAATGTCGAGAAATTTTTCAAGACCCATATTTTCTATGAAATTTTTTGGCACATTCGTGACGGTAAATGTTGTTAATACAGTTTATTATAAATAGAGCATTTACTTAAATATGTGTGTATACTTCTAAATGCATAAATCATTATATTTATTACTTATTAAGACATATATCACTCTCCCCCACCAAAAAATGAAAATAAATTCTGGTTTTAAATATATATACATTTCCCTACAAATGATTGATAAGCCGTGGAAAACGAAGCAAATCAATCAAAGTTGTAGATTAAGCTGTAAAAGTAGGTTAAACAGCCTAGTGTTCGAAAGATATATTTAAGAAAACGTGTATTCAAACGCGAATCTAAACTGAGTACCAGTTTTGGATCTCGAAAACCACTTTTTAACAAATGAAAATAATTAAGAAATTAATATCGTCTAAAAACAATTACCCAACAAAAACAGTA